TCAGCAGGAGGTGGTGTAGTACTGCAATTGGTCCCCAGCTCAGCTGTGCGATCTCCATCTTTTGAGGTTTCCAAAGCCGTTGCTGATCCAGCCCATGGCAACTGTCCTGCTTCAAGTGGGAGGCTGGAGTAGATGACCTTCAGAGGTCCCTTTCACCCAACTTTTCCATAAAGAATCTCTAAAAAGCACCAACCTGAAAAAGTGTAATCCGCTCTGTAAGCCTGTCCTCCGTCTCTTCCACCAAACCAACAGTGGGGATGCTATCTTCAACAGACTCCAGCTGTCTGGTAAGTTCCTGGCAATCTTCATCCAGACGCATCCAGGTCTGCAAGCACAAATTATCCATTTATATTGTGAATACTGAGTCTGGGTATCTAGAATTTTTATTACTTGCTTTCTCAATCTGAAAACCTATAGCTGCATGGTTGTGAATGTAAAGAAATAACAGTACAAATGTTCAGTGAACCTGTAATAAGACACCAACTTTGTGTCAAGCTCAACTTCTGGTTAGACCACATGGATAAAGCTGTCAAGTTCTCCTTGTCAGCTAAAGCTAAGCAGCTCTCTTAAATTTAGAGGAACACAACTTGTGTCACGTGAAGGACATAGTAGTTAAATAGCGAAGATTACACGTAGTCTTATCAGTGCCTTGTGTGTATGACAAAAGGGACTGATGTCCATCAATTCTGGCCAAGCACAGGAAATCAACATTATAGAATATCCTGGTGAGTGATCACAATAGCAGTACAGAAAAGACCACAGAAATTCTCACCTCTAGAATGTATTCCAGCTCCACACCTCGTTTATGAGCCAGCTTTAATACATGTGAAGCTTGTGCCATTAGCTCTGAATGCGACTGAGTCTCCTTCAAGAGGGCAAAGCTACTCATCTTTCTAAAGAGTGTTTCTGTCAGGATCATGTGAGACTCCAACCCCTGAAAATATTCCTGAGAAATTTGGGTGTGAGGGAGAAGGTAAAGAGAGAATAGAAAAGAGAAAGTACAATTGTCACTCAATTCATTACCACTAAAAGAACATTTTAGATAACAGCAGTACAATCAAGTATCTGTAGACATAGAATTAGGTAAACTTTTCACTCCATCAACATTTCACAAAATCCAACACACAATTCAAAAAGGACAATGGCCTTTTTAAAGAAAGACAGACGTCATCCCTTCCATGCAAATTCCATCCCAACTCTCATTCCATAAACAAAAATAGCTTAAATCAGATATACACCACCAAAACATTCTGGAAAATAAAGAAATGTGGAAAAGTCTTGTTATATTTTGTGTGTGCTATTAGCAAACATAAATTTCTTCTGGAAAAAATGGAGTGGTGGATGAAATTGCTATGTAGCATGACAGGACAAGAATAGGAACTTGTAATTAGAATAAGGAAGAAAATGCAAACTACCTGGGTCCACCTTCAACAGAGCATTTGAAAGTCATTCAGTCAGAACAGTTCATTGATTCCAATTTAAAATACAGTAAGTTTTAATACATCCTGACTTAATACTGGTCCAACCATTCTGAAAAGCTCCTGAACCTTTAGGAACAGAAGGTTAGCAATTTGCTGTGTGCAAGTTTACAGTCATGATTAGTCCTGAAATATGTCACAGTTTCTTACCTTATGTTTGTCAAGTAGCAATTGAACCTCTTCCCTAGAAGCAACAATCATTTTCTGGTCACCAGCCATCTTTTCTTGGCCTGTTTCTACCAGGTCAGCCAGGTCCTGCAAAGCCCGTTCATACTGCCTCTTAAGAGCCAGATTCTGATTCAGGTCACTCCGTCTGGATCCAATGATCATCATCAGCTCATCATACTTATCCTTGGGGGCAAAGAGCAGCAACGGTGATTCTTAATTCACACCTTACATAGGTCTTCCTAGAAGCAACCTTACTGTCCCCGTATTCCTGTGAATACTAGCAGACTAACATCTATTCCCAGCTCAAAAAGACTGTGCAGGTATACTGACTTCATTGATAAATTAACAACTCACCATTTAAAGAGAGAAAAAATAAGCAAGATGTGCAACTCTTTCAAGTGCACGCATTCAAGAGCAAAGTTTGCAGAATCTCAAAGGCTTCTTTAAGTATCAAAGGAGTAGGGTGATTGGGTTTAAGTCATCAAAAAACAGACTAACATGTGGCTACCGCACATTGCAGATGCTGCTTACATTTTGCTTCCTATAATGCAGAGTGTTCGATGGACTCCATCATGGCTACAGACTATAGGCATCTCAAAGCCAGGTTTGTTTCCCTCTCCTGCCCCAGTAGCTTACTGGTAGCAAGCAAGATACATACAACTCATAGTAAAAACCAAATCAAGCCTAAAACAGCAATACACTTTATATAGAACAGTAAAGTGTAGAAAAAGTAGTGTGTATTTCACAGTGTGCCCATACTGTCAAATTACAAAATGAGTCAAAAAGAAGAATCTCATCAGTTCCCATGTGCTATTACTCATCTTGCATAACTCAATCATAAAAGTGAGAACAACCTACAGATGCTTTTCCTCACCTGAACAAGGACTACTTGCTTGTTTTGGTTTTGAGAATTGTATTTGCAGAACTTATGTCTGACTGTGAGGATAAGCCCATCATTTTGACGAAGGCAAGAAACAACCAGAAACTAATAAACCAAAAAAGTACCCACCCTCGAACTGCAGCCCCTAGCTTAAAGAGAAAACTGTAAGAAGCACAATTGTCAAAAAAGCAAAAGGAAGGCTTTTCTAAAAAACAAAATCAAGGGGAGGGGGATATCTACAAATAATTTGACAGCAAAAAAAAAAAAAAAAAAGGCAGGAGGCTCTAAGACCAAAAGGATAAAGAACTGGGCAAAAGACACATTTGCACAAACTCTCTGTCATTCATTTTTTATTGAGATCATTGTTTTGTTGGTTTAATAAGTTTATGGTCCAGTTTCAGCTGTCGTCTTTGCTTCCAATTTATTATTATGTCATTATAAAGGGTAAAATTCAGTCATAAACCTTCTCCTTGATCTTTCCTTAAGCATTCCCCTGCCTCAGCACCAAACTGCTCACAAAGGAGTTTCAACAGCCTTATAGAAGTTCTGGATCAACTGCCCACATGTGTCTACTTCAGAGAGCCTTAAGATAGAGTCCTACTACTTAGGCGTGTTCAAAACCAAGTCTAACTGAAAGTATGCAAGAAAATGAGAGGTGTTCTAGTAAAAGCAGAACATTTCCAGTTTCCGGTCACATTTAGCTATCTAGCCCCTTTCTTCCTCCTCCTTATTTTTAAATGATAGATGTGAGAGAGAACTAAACGCTAGATCATGAGACACTAGTGAGAAGAGGGGTCGACCTTCAGCATACATTTATGTTTACATGCTTAATGTTATCTACTCGAACAGGGAGTCAACAAGAGCTGAAAGAAAACATGGTTTTGCCTGTTTTTGTAATTAATACTGCTAATAATTGTTGTTAGAGTTTCTAACAACTGTTAGAGTTGTTAGAAAATTTGAAAATACTAAAGTAGAAAAACTAGGTGAATCAGACAGAAAATAATCTTTCATGCACACTGAAATGCTTTTAAATATGTTTTCCTAAACTGCCTTATGAACAATAAAAAGGAGCATGCTAATACCTTTGATATCACCAGACAGGTCTAGGATGGAACTTACGAACCATACCTGGATCTTAGACAGCTCTTGCACAGAAGGTTGGTCAATGTGTAGCTTGTCTACACGCTTCTTTAATTCACTGATTCCAGCATCTAGCTCCTTCAAACCTTCTTCTGCCTGCAGTATGACCTGTATTTGAAAATTACATCATTTAGTTTGAAGGTTTAATAACAGTTCTATAGCTGCCATACAGTAATATTCTTTTCTGTTTTCTGCCTGAAGTATTAATCAGTCCTTCAATCTGCTGGAATTTTAAAAGATACTATAAAGGAATGTATTAATACGAAGTTGGGAGAGCACAGATTGTTTCTTCAAGTTAAATACAATATGGCATTATTATTTTTTTAATAAGAAGATATTATAGTATCATACACTATCTTATACCAAAGCTTGTTATGAAGTTCTATGCTTTTAATTACACAGTACAGGCATAAAAGAACTATTAGTTGTTCTAACACCTTCTTTTAAAGCATTCGTTCTATTAACACTCATCCCTGTCATATCTGAGCACCAAGCAAACAACCATCACAGCAGAAGATATGCATGATAGCAAAGACCCGTGCATAGTCCCTTTCAAGACCAGGATAGGGCTAAAACTACTGTCAAGGAAAAGGACCTGTACACCCCCTTTTGCACTTGCAAAACTGCATTTTAAGAACACAGGTTGGTATTTGCAAGTATATGCAGGTGATAACTTGACTTTTTTTCAAAGGAAGCTACAAGCTTTCCTAGGTCTTTCAATCTAAGAGTCTCTGCTGAAGTAATGCATGCAAGCTGTAACAAAGTTAAAAGCACAAGGTAGACTTCTGTAGTTAAAGTCCTTTGTTAAGGCCCTTTCTTGGAAACTGCTTATCCCAATATGCTTAAACTACATCAGTAGCTTCTGGGTAACAAGAAACATCTGAGGAAAGTAGCCCTTAGCATACTTCATTTGCTTTTCTCATTGGCAAAACAGAAACAAGGAAACAGGATATATTTTGTTATATTAATAACTAATAATTCATCAAGCAATTCCTGATAAAGAAAAAACAACTACTGCCTTAAATTAAAATGAATAACAGTCAAGATATTACTATAAACCAGCACAGAAGAAAATGCCTTTGGTTTTTAATAAAGTGTAATAGCCAAACAATTTAGCCAAACTGCAGACTTTTTTGGGTTCACTGGAATTTTCCTTCTTTCAAATACTGCCCAGTGTATACATAGCTAGGTCAGCTGGGGAGATAAGAAAGACACTTTGTGTTGATTTTTTAATTTATAAACATGTGTAGTACACTCTTGGAAGTACTCATTTTCACATATTTTATGTGAACACATACATTCTGCCATAAAAAGCAACTGTCCTCTAGAATCCATTTATCCTTTGAAAAGAAACTTTACCTCTTCCCCCTTCCCCAAGTAACAGACATTTAGCAATACCTGCATTTGTTCTGTTTCTGGTCTCTCAACTGCCTCTGCTAGTTTCTGTAGAACTAAATATTTGTTATCAGCCACTGACGTAAACAGGAGCTTCAGATCATTCTGCAGGAGACAACAACAACAACAAATTATAGCCAATGACAGTACAAAACCAACTGAAAAACATTTTACGTTCCAAAAAGTTTAAAGCATTACAATATTACAATGTCAGCACTAAGGCATAAAATCTATTCAAAATTGGAAGCATCATAATTAGCCAATGCAAAACATTTAACATTGCTGAAAATCCACAACTGGATATATTTGAGCTAAAAGCAAAAGCAACTCATATTCAAAACATAACCTGTGAACACACTTCTGCTTTTGCCTTCCAATTAGATAATTAATTAGCAAGGGTCATTAGCTTAATTTAACAAAAATATGTTATTCTTGTGTAGTTTATTCAACCACATTAGCTTGCAAATAAGCTAGGTTTTACTTTTTAAGACAAGCTTTTTTCACTACAAACTTCAGCGAATACAACAAAGTATAAAGGAGGCTTCAACACATTACAGGGCTAACTACGCATTACAACTTTTAGAGTAACCTTATCAGACTAGACACATAAATATTACTTAACAATTTTGCCAAGCTACAATCAATTATTCTTTTTTTTTTCCATGCATTCATCCCAACAGAAAATAATCAGCACATTTTTCTAAGACTTTCAGCATTATATAAGGGGTGCATTAGTAATTTATTTTTTTTTTGCTTGCAGTAATTCTTTTAAATACTAAGTATCTCTGGCATAACAATAATGCACAGGATTCTAATCACCTTGTCTGCTTTCTTCAGCAAAGGAACGCCTTCCATTGAAGAGTGTTGAATTTTTTTTTTTTCTGTCTACTGCAGAGGAAAGGTTATGGAGTTTGGAAAGAAATCCTGTAGTAACAACCTTTGAAACAATGACCCTTATCTAAAGATACCAGCAATCTATTTTCCTTTTTTTTTTTTGGTTCTAATTTATGTTTTCTCATTAAAACTAAACCATACGGAGGCTTTGTATGATAGTAATAGGAGAGAAGATACAGACCAAGTAAGAGCTGAAAGCATTTCTGAACCCTGTTTGAAAAGATTTCTAAAAGCACACATCTCTCCACTTTTCTTCATTTTCTTTGCTTTGCTCAATACAGATGGCTTGAGAATCAAGCTCTTATAGAGTAACAGGATAGTTTAAAGATGAACAGAAAGATGGGAATCAGTATTGTGTTTTCTACACTATCTCAGCTAATAAAAACAGTGTATTCTGTCATTTACGAAATTACAAAATGCATAGAGTGGAACTCTAAAGTTGCTTTTCCTCCTTTAAGAACAATAGTCAACGACTTCCTTTTATGTAATGCCAGCAGGGTGAGAAAGAACGGGATGAATGATCACTTTACAATAATTGCATGAGTTGCAGAAGATTTCTAGCAGAGAGTTTACATTTTGGATGATGATTTGGGTGCCAAGTTTTGCATAGCCTAAGAAGTTTGATTTTTCAGTAAAAACCTGCGACAACCTTGTTCTTTTGATTTGGTACCAAAAATTCTCATTGCTTTGAGAATCACATCCCTTATACCCGTTTGACATGTACCCCTGTTAAGTTCTTCAGATTGGCATCATACCTTGAAAGTCACTATTTGCTGGAGCCGTCCTTTCATCTGATGGCATCTCTGGTTTACTACTGACTCCAGTAACATTAGTCTTCTCAGGAGACAACCCAAAGCGTCTTCTATAATGTCCCTATTATCACCATTCTCCGGAAATATCCGAGCAAATAAATTCTTGTTCTTATCCATTTCTTCTGTTACATCTTTAATTTCTTTGGCAAGAGACTGATTTTGTAGAAAACAAAACAAAGTGACAATCAGTCATTCCAGAAAGCAGGTAAACATATTGCCATAACCATTGTTAATTTTGCAGTGATGCAATGACTTTTTTACATTGTTAATATATGCACACCAGACAAAGTTATGCAGCAAAGTTATGCAGTTTACTATCTCTGATAGTAAAAAGACCCCAGATTGCCCTGAGGAAAACAAGTGCTGAAACAAAATGATGTAGAATCATGGAATGGTTTGGGTTGGAAGGGACCTTTAACTGTTATCTAGTCCAACCCCGCCTGCCATAAGCAGGGACATCTTCAACTCAATCAGGTTGCTCTGAGCCCCCTCCAGCCTGGCCCTGAATGTTTCCAGGGATGGGGGCATCTACCACGTGTCTGGGCAACCTGTGCCAGTGTTTCACCACCCTCATTGTAAAAAATTTCTTCCTTATATCTAGTCTAAATCAACTCTCTTTTAGTTTAAAACCATTACCCCTTGTCTTATCACATCTCTCTCTTTCTCCCCTGTCCCAATCCCTCCCTTCCCCTCCCCTCCTCCTCTCCCCCCTCCCTTTCATGTTGATGAATTTGTACTGTTTATATATCTCAGAGCATTCCTCCCTCTTTTTCACTTCATTTCAATTTCAGCAATGTGGTGTTTACTAATACTTAGCAAAGAAGTTAAACAGAAGAAAAATGCTATGCTTAATTCTCTTCTGACCAGGCAGAATTTAGGTCAGGTGCTGCTTTTTGCAACATTCTCTACACAGCAAATAAAGTTACTTCTACTAGTAGCAGAATACTGCAATTACATAGAGATTATGACAGCAACATGTCATTTATCCAGGATTCTAACATTTTCTTTTGAAACATTACATACAATGCACTCTTATTGGCAATTTAAAGTAAGTCCTATGCATGGATTCCTTACCTCTTGCTTGCAGAGGTATGTTTCTGTTTCTTCCTCTGGCAACAGAGCTGTAGCAACAAAGACCTGTTCTTCCACGCCATCAAGCCACAAGGAAGTGGCTACAACACCATCATACAGCTTCTCTTCAAGATGCAGGCTCTCCACCACCTGTCCAGCCTGGGCAAAAGGAACCAGAGAAGACCAGAGCAGAAGTATCAGATATTCTTTCTAACATCTAATATTTGGGAAAGGCTGTATTTCCAGGTGGGAGCAGGAGGAGTTTTCATTGTAAATGTGGCTCTGTTGGAGGACAGGTGTAAGACAATTGAAATATTACCTCAGATGACACATCTTCAAAGGCCTGATTTAATTCAACTAATAGTGGTGACACGGAGGATTTATCTTCATCCTGTCCTTCCTTATACAAAGGCATTCCAGGTATCAGTCTGTTTGGTCTGCTATAAAGCTGCTGAGAGAGAAGTACTAATTAGGATGCTTCTACCACATATAGGGCACAAAATTCAGCTATACAGATTCCACTGCTGACTGAGGGTATCACCAAATAATGCTCACGGTCCTCCCACAACTGTTCTGTGTCATGAGTATCTTGAATAAAAGATTGCTCAACAGGATGTTCACTAGAAGTGCAGGATAAATACTTGTGGCCAGAATTAGCAATGACTTGTTTTTACCAGAAAAATAATTAATTACTGTTGAATGAATACAAGATATTTAGAACTTTGGAAGCTGATTTTAATGTAGTGTATACAAAGAATAGTAAGCCTGGGTCTATTAACAATAAAATGGAGGATGTATGTTAATATAGATCTTGGATTGTCCTTGGTTTAGTTGATTAATCCCTGTTTCCTTCAGTAAAAATTCTGTGGCTGAAATCACTTGCTTTTTTTGTCATATACCCACTAAAATCAAGCATTGAATGTAACCAATACATTCAAACTGAAAATACCAGTTTTTCCTCTACGTTGTCACAAGAGTACTGGTCAATTCAAGAGAGATGATTTGTTACAGAATTATCCTGAGTTAGATCAAAATTTTGTCTGACCCCTTTCTTCCTTTCTAGTTTATTCACCTGAATGGTAGTGCAATTCAAATCACTTTGAACCAGAGCAATGCTAGTCCCAATATTTAACAGTTTTTAAAGATGTCACAAAAATAAATTGTTCCATATTCTTTGCATTAATACATCACCTTAATGCTTCTGCTATGCACTTACCGTACCTTGTGTTGTGACATCTGCTTTCACAGAGAAATGCAAAGAGAAATTAAAAATAGCTACCAGCTGTTCTTGTTCCAAAGCTTTCTGGAGCAGCCTCTGCTTGGTATTGAATTCCTGGTTCAGGCTTCCCCATTTCACCTTCATCTGTTCTTCAGATGATGGCTTCTCACCTTCTAAGTCTAATTCCTCAGAGAGTGTATCAGGCTTCTCACTGAACAGGAAGATGCATAAAGGTTTAACGAATACAAAAGTTATAACTGTATAAGGTGTTTATTTCCTCTTTCAGTTAGGAAATTCTACATTTAAATTAAGTGCTACATTTTAAAGCTTTGACTTGTTTTTTTCCAGATAGTAAGACAAAGTCTGGTCTGTAACAGCAAGAAGTTCTTGCCTGATGGGATTAAATGTATTTTCTAAGACGCTGTTTAGAGTTGCAAGTACCCATGTTAAGTAAAAAACCCAAACCAGACTGAATATATGCTAAATTGAAATGTAACCTTTAAACAAGTTTTACTTCAAAGCATGAAATAAAAAAAATATTTTATCTGACTCCTTCCTTACCTCCTCTCTCAAAATGCCAGACATACCCTGATTTTTTAATGCAGGACAAGCATATGAGTTTAGCTTTGGTAAACTGCAAATGAAGTTCAGCATTTTCTGGTTTTTTGTTTGTTTCTATAGTATAACATCATGCAACAGAAGGAAGTCTCAAACAGAAGGAGGTAAGTTCTCTCTGGCATTATAATAAAAAAATAAATCGAATTAACGCAAATGCTGAGGAAAAGAACTTACTGAGCACAGCTTACATTCCCTGCACATAAGTCTTGGTTTTGCTGTCTCATGAACTACCTTCATGTTCTAGACTGGCATGCTGGAGGAGCCACAAGGTCCTCACTACTACCGAGATACACCAAAGTAGTATTTTGACTGAAGGGCTGACTGCTCCTTAATTCTTAAGCTGATAATGTTCACCCTGGTTTCCTCTTCCCAAGACCCTGCCCTTCCTGTTCCCTGAAGGTCCGCATCGGCACTAGGTCGTAGTTTTCTTCTGCCTTCTCTAGGGCAGAAGACTCACCCAGTCAGAGCCAAGGCTTTTATAGACATCTACTTCCTCCCAAAAACGGGCAAGTGTGCAAGAAAATATAGACCAGAGATGAAATTCAAAATACACAAAGCTTCAAAAAGAAAAATATTTCTGAACTGCAGGAAAAATAAAATTAAGCAATGAGTATCTCATCTGGAAAGATCTGGCTACAATGGCAGACTACAATGTTTTAGAGATCAGCTGTGATTCACATACCAATGCTGGACCATAAAGTTACAGTAACTGACCCACCGCTTATCTAATGAATCCTACTAGCTTGTAATTTTAGTATGATGCGTGATAATAAAAGAAATTTCTAAATGCTGAAGGTGATCTATTAGCACAAAACAGTTTGTGTAACTATATTATCAGACCTCTGAATTATAAACCAGGACTCTAGTATCCTAGGTTCTGTATAGAAGTGCTAAAACAAGAGTTAGAGGATTATATGCAGAAGAGGGATGTAAATATAAGGATGACAAAGCACAGCCATAGAAATTTACTTTGCAGAACACATGAAAGCACACCTTATACATAGGCCTTCCAGAGCACCTTGCTGTGTTAGGATTTCTTCTCCACGGCATGCTACTGACCGAAGCAGATTCTTTTGCTCTTCTAGCTCTTGTTCCAGCTCCTAGCATAGCAAGTTACAAAAACCAAAACCTCAGATTGATTTTGCCTTGGAAGGATACGTCTATATTGCATAACTGTTCTGCAAAGACAGCCGAGCTAGTTCTGATAAGGCTTGCTTGAGCACCAAGAGCAGGGCAAAATCTCTACCCAGGGACAGAGAAAAATTGGGCACATAAACTGGATTGTTAAACTAATTGACTAACGCAATGCAGTTTCTGGCACCTAACCTAGTGAGGATGTCTGTGTATCATGCAACACAATACACCTTGTAATGTGTGCATCTTTGCTTCTATAAAGACAATGCTGATTACTATTTTGAGCAAATACCATCATCGCCTTAGAGTAACTTTAAGGGTTGATTAAATTTAATTCTACTAATGGACAATGAAAGTATAGAGTGATTAAGTGACTTGACCATGGTCACCAAGGAAGTCCAGTCTGCCTAGCTGTTACAGATATAAAATAGCTAGCCCAGATGCATCATTGCAAAAGCACTGAGTAAGAAACAGTGTAAAAATGAGTATTTCCATGGAAATATTAACAAGAATGGCTCAGCTACAGTGATAAACTCAATCTAAATATGGGAGTAAAAGAAATGCAAAACACCAACTTTCTGTTGCTGCAGGTTGCTCTGCTGTTGCTGTGAGCGAGTGCTTCTTGCTTGTGCCAGCCATTCTTGGACACTGGGGCTTTGCGAGGAAACAAAGTCCGGATCACTCTCCTCCTTTTCTTGTAGTGATCCCTGCTTTAAGAGAAAGAAATAAAGATTTTGCAAAATATCTTTTATTGCTAGAGAGCTGGCAGGTCCAGCGCATCAACTCAAAACCACATATGGTGTCACCTTCCATCTCTCAAGCTGCTGGCTCACATAAAATTCTGAAGTGAGCAATGACTTTAGATTTCTGACTTCTACTGGTCATTGGTTACTAGCAAGAAAGCCTCCCTAAAAATGTAAAAATAAACGTGCACCACTGCGCTTAGCAGAATCAGAGACCAGAGATCAGAGACCATGGACTGATGTATTTCTGAAGACAGTTCTGCTTCTCCTAAAAACCAGCATTGATCCACAATGGAGGGTGCAGCTTTAACTGGCAATGCAGGGAAACAATGGGTTGTTTCTGCCAGGTTTTTAGTCTAATTAAAGCCAGTTTAACTAAAAACGAGAGAATGCTGGTTGTCATTCTGGTCAAAATTTATTTCTCAGTAAGTACACAACTCTATCCGTGGTTGGCAGAAACACAGCCAGTTAACAGCAGATTATAGGATATGAACAGTAAAGACACTAAGAGACACCAAACCACAGAATGTTAGAACAGAACAGTAAAAGCAACAGTTCCTTCACTTCATACTTCCATTATTACGTTTTTCCAATCTGAGTGATTAGACAGGCTTTCTGTGTAAGCAAAGCAAAAAAACCAGCAAATACCTTCATAGTTCCAAAAACTGCTTTATCAACTTCTTGACTTCTGAAATCTATGTTGGCTGTAAATTTAAATTATTTTAGCAGCCAATGTATTAAAATGTAGGGATTTTAACACACTAGCCCTAATGTTAAAGGCAGACTTGTAGGTCTGGCTACTTAAATCTATGCACTTCTCTGGATTTATTTAATATTATTTGCAGGCACGTGATGACGGCAGAGTTTGTGCTTTCAGTTAGATTTTGAGTTGCCTCTTCTCTCGGAAGAGAGTTGAAAAGCTACAATTCTGGAGTTATACTGAGACAAATAAATAGTAGTCCCACAGTTCCTGCAACAGCAGAGTATAAAAGGGATTGTGGCATTCGTGGATGCAATGAGGTTTTGCAAATATGATATTGTGCACTTTTTTTAGATTAAAATTAATTGTGAATCAGATTTTATCATTCTCAAACCACAGAATATAAGTTTGAAAAAATACACTTGTAATTTCATTTGAATTCTGTCTGAAGGAACTGTATTACATTTCCTTTAAATAGACAGGGAAATAAATGCTTGAAGCTGTCGCTTCTGGGGACTGTTCACTCCAGCACAGAAATAATTGGAAAATCCCTGCAGAAAATGGTGATAAAATTGATCTTTCAAAAGAGTTCAGAATTGTACACGCTTGTATCAGGAGTATTTGTCTTGTGGAACTGAAGTCAACCCTCACACATACACATACTTTGTAATAAAAAATAAAAAATAAACACTACCTGTTTTTTTTACTGCAGAATCCATTCTACTACTTTGTTTTATAAGGAGTCTGTCTATTTTTATTGCCCCTAAGTGACAGAATTTAGTAGATAACAGTAGTAAGGCAATGTTTTGTGTATCTTTCAAATTGCTTGAAAAATTCTACATTTGGAATTGATGTAGTCAGAACTCTCCTGATCCAGCACGTTTCTGATCAGTTTCACTGCTTTATTTTATGAATAAAGGACTTGGTCTCCAAATCCCTCTTTCTGTATCATTAGTAACATTAATTAATTAAAATTAGAAGGAAAACTGAAATTGCTGCAAGAAAGTCACAGGCTCCTAAATTGCCACAGGAATAACAGATATGCTGAAATATTGCTTTAAGGAAAATACAGCTTAAGTCTTTACAATGCTCTTGGTCTTGCAGTGCAACTTGGGAGGATGCTTCCTTTTCTGGGTGCAGGCTGGTCTATGCCTCTGGGCAAGTACAAGGTTCTCAGTATATCTAGAGACATGTGTAAGTCTGAGTTTCTTACACGCATGAGCAACAGTGCTGTTAGCATGTAATGTTTCTCAGGGTTAATAATGGCAGCAGATAGAGTTAGTGCATTTTTGGGCATCTGATGCTCTAAGTCTCAGTCCATAAGAAATACTTTATGCCTGATTGTTTGGAAAAAGATATTCTAGAGTTTCTCATTTGAAAAAAAATCGCTCAATGAAAATTCGAAGATGTTATACTGCCTATATCCATTTTCTTCCATGATCCATAAGTGAAGCCCAAAAAAGGCTTGCAATTCATAAAGAAACTTAAGTCTTACATGCATGTAGCATCTTAAATGATTTGTATGCTACATCTGGAAATTATTTTGTTGTTATTTTTGATAATAGAAAAGCATCCAAAAATCTGCTTTAAAAGTTTAAGTAAAACATACCACTGTATTTTAAAATGCAGGACATCTTAAAATGCAGCATGCATACTTTAAAACGAAACAAGAAAGTCTGTGATGCCTTTTCACTCCACAAGTAATACATCAGAATATAGCATTATATGCCTACGTGCTGTTGATAACACTTTTCATTTGCCTAATCATGAGGTTTAATAGGCAAGAATAACATTAAAATTACTTCATCTTAGAGGCAACAGGAATAAAAACCCGAGTCTTTTCCTCCTTTTTTTTTTTGTGTGTGTGTGTTTGCTTGTTGTTTTTTTTTGTGAAGCTACGTTACGTTTTATAGTTATCCAGTTGCTTTGGACTAAAAATAGTTCTTAGCACAGTCAAGTGACTTTTCAAGTTAACCTCTCAGTAGACTTTAATCTGCATTACCAGCTAGAAATCTTTGAAGCTTAGCATGTTTAATTTGAACAGCAAAGCCCAGAAAAGAAGTAAAAGAAAAGGGGGGGAGGGAGTCACAGCAGGGGAAGCCAAGTGAAAACCAGTCAGTCACATTACATGGTTGGGTTTCTTGTATGTATTTGGTTCTCCACATGCTAGTTTAACCTAAAGAATGACCAAAACCAACTGTTAAACAAAATGAACTAGTGGCAATAAGCAGACCAATGCTGCTAGGAACAGAAACCTGACTGAGGTTAGATGTGTCTTTGTTTATATAATATTTTGTTTCATGTAATGATGCCACTACGTATTAGCCATATTTTAAACTGTTTCATTATCTTGATGTTATCTATTCATTGTGTTGTGCATGCTCCATGGAGGAAAGCATGTATTTAGGATTTTTCTTTTGTTGGGGGAGGGATCCTGCCCAAGAGCATATGCAATCTAAAGGAACTAGGAACAGGAATAGAGTATATCCAGACCAAGCTAATCATCTATCTACTTTATTATTGTCCTTTCAGTCAAGATAGTGAGGTTAGGATAGTTTCACCATGAAGTGGTGCTGTTAACTTGAAAATCATAAGCTCAAGCTTGCTAGGCAGTTCTTTATTTTGGAGTGTAATTCCATTTACTAAAGATAGATAGCTCAAAGTAAATGACTAGAACAGCTTTACTCCTTTTCCCAGTTGCATTAAACTACTATGAAATGCCCCAACTTCCTGTCCACGGTGAAGCCAGCTGGAAAGAGCCACTTACCTGAATGTTGATCTGTTTGTCGTGGAGCACTCTCTGCAGCTCCAGAAGGCTGCCCTTCAGGGTCCGGAGCTTCACAGCCAGCTGCTCAGCCTCGTCCTTGGTGTGTGCCTTCCCCTCCATAAGCAAGTTCTCGTTGTGCACAGACAACTCTGACAAGGCTACCACCTTCTGCTCTATTTCAACCAGCATGTTCTGCAGCAGCAAAAACAAAGAACCAAATTCATACATTTTCCAGCATCTGTCACGCCTTCTGGCAAGACAACCTGTGGCCTACCTCACCCGTCGTCAAGCTAAGGGCAAGTCAGATTACCACTGCTTTGCCTTCCAGTCCCTTTCAGAGTCCTTAGGAATACTCTTGCAAATGTTTGCATTTGCCGTTTCTGTTTGCAACCTTTTTCAAAATAGGAAATTAAAAAGTTACTTGAAACAAAAGATTTGTTGTAGAGGAGATGCTCTTTATTTGCACATTAAAGGTAAGGGTGGCTAAGATGCCAGACTGACACCCATAACTACAAGAAACAGAGCACGCATCTAGAGTTACTGCTTTCCTCTTCTTTCATGTACATTTAGTGAAATGCTTCCTACCTCCTCCTATGTCTTGCTCTGGCTGCTTTGATAAGCTTCTCTTCTCACTATTTGCTCTTTCTGATTGGTGCATGACAGACTTAAGGATTGCTGTATAATCCTCTTTAGTCTAAAGAGAGACTTAAAGTGACAAATCTCTGGCATGTTTATTCACAAAAGCTACTTTCCTGACATTCCATTAACCATTCACATATTACAGACATAGTGCATATTTTGATCTTCCAAACTCAAAGCTCATACAATTCTTGCTCAAAAACCTAGCCTGACATCAAATGGTTTTGTTTCCATAGCAATCATCAAGTATAAACTTAGAAATATTTCTCCTGAAGGAATGCATGCAGGATAAGATGAGCAGAGTCTCTAAAAAGTGGAAAAAAATATAGGACTTACTGTACTAAGATTTTAAGAACCAGCAAAAGAACAGTAATATTAACTTTCCCACAAAGTTTACTGTTCTTTTTAATTTTGTTTCGTACAGATTACATTAAAAAAATTACTGCTTTGTTTAAGTTCACATGGTTTATCTATACATAATAAACAGCTTCCAAGGACGGGTGATGAAAGAACACTTGAGACTGAGCAGACTGAAAATTCCAATAATGAAGTGGTGTTGGTGGAAATTTAACTAGATGTTTAATTCAGACTTATATGAAACTTAACTCCCATTTATCCTAAAATACTTGAGATCCTTATTCTTTAATACAAAAAAAAAAGGATCTTTTGTCCATCTGTCTCTTGTCTATCTTGTAATTTTAATTACAACGATCATACAGTTGTAAACTCTCATGTAAAAATGGAAAACTCCCACTAATTTGTGAACCTGGATGTTATGACTGATCCAAGCCTTGTTAACAAAAGTATATGCAATTAGTCTATTGCAGCAAAATGTTTTTTCTCAGTTGTTTTGGTATTCTGGGTTGATTAATATTAAATTCATAAAAACAGTAACTACTGATGATTACACTTCTGAATGTGAGTAGGGATTACTCCTGAAGAAAACACAACACTGTCCTAGTCACCACGGCTAGTGCAAGTGTGCTCTTGAGCTGGAAAAGGGGAAGTAGGAAAGCACACTGCAGGTGTTTTCATACCTATCAATTCAGCTGTTCACCAATTCTAGCTTGAGTGGAGCAACAACAGTAAGTAAAGCAAATATAAGGCCTTTAAAGCAGAAGAAAATGCCCTCCAAAAGTTGTACAGCTTCAAATGTTCTTGCAGTCAGGATATTTTGTTTTCCTACTGCTACGTTTACATGTGCTTTCTAAAGCACTGTTTGCAATCTTTAGTAAGACACAAAGAACAGGCTGTATTTTATTTCACGAATCATTGATGAAGCTAACTGAGTGTATATGAGGTGGTAAGATGCTCAGAAACTTCTTCCCCGCTAATATGCCAGCTCATCCCACGCAATAATGATCTTAACATTAATGCTGCATATTTGCCTCTTCATTCAGGGAAACCTATATCCATCCTGTTCATCTAAACATTACAGGACGTATAATTTTACCTGACAGTCTACCAGTTGTGCTTCCATGTCCATAGGTTCCTCAGCAGTAACCAGAGCGGTGTCCAGTGTTGCTCGGGTATTGAGTAGCCAGTGGTCAAGCTCATCAGCTTCACAACGGTACCTTTGGAGAGCCTGCTCTTGCCGCTGTTCTTCTAGCTGCTCGTTCAGTTTCTCCTAGAGGTACAAATTATATTTTACTTTTTAAAACAAATATACCACAACAGTCATAGAATCCTAGAATGGTTTGGGTTGGAAGGGACCTTAAAGATCACCTAGTTCCAGCCTCCCTTGACTGGGTTGCTCAAAGCCCCATCCAACCTGGCCTTGAAAAGTCACTTTAAAATAAACTCCTCCCTCTGTCTCTCACAACTTCCATATACTATTTTTAAGCCATAATAAGCCCTTTATTTCTTAAGTTGGAAACCTTTACAAAATATTGCTTTCAATTGATGAGCATGCTCTTCTGGTGACTGAAATTCTGTTTCAGTTCAGTCACTGTATTTCCAGTTTTAAACTAAAGGAAGGTAGATTTAGACTAGATACAAGAAAGAAATTTTTCAGGATGAGGGTGGTGAAACACTGGCACAGGTTGCCCAGAGAGGTGGTAGATGCTCCATCCCTGGAAACATTCAAGGCTGGGCTGGATAGGGCTCTGAGAAACCTGATTGAGTTGAAGATGCCCCTGTTCATTGCAGGGGGGTTGGACTAGATGATCTTTAAGGTTCCCTTCCAAGCCAAACCATTCTATGATTCATTACTTTTACTGTGGAGGACAAGGAATACCAGGGGAACCTATTGAGAAAATGTCAGTATGGATGGTAAAAAAAAATAATTTTTATATACATAAAATATGGCTTCCGCAGTGTGTTTCCAAGTTCCTTCTGGTTACTTATCACCTAGCATCAAGATGAGGGGCTTGTTAAAAAAGAACAGTAATTTATTAGTGAAAGGAATTGTGAGAAATGAGGAGAACTGAAAATGACTTTTTTAATTATCAGCATTCAGTGGTGACTAAGGACTTTGGTGAAAGTACAGGTCTGCCAAAAGGGGCTCTCAAAATCTGGAATGTGATCCAAAAGACCCTCTCACAGAGATTTCTTCTTGTACCTCTAATAGCTGTCGTTTTCCTGATGCCTTCATTCGAATTGTGGCCATTCGTTCAGCCAAGACCGTGAGAGTGGACTGCAGTGCCAGCTGATCAGCAGCTTCTGCATCCAGTGGTTCTGAAACCAGCTCCTGGGCTAATGATGTCTGAAGCTCAGAGATTTCTTCTTGTAACATTAAAATCTCATCCATCAAAGCCTATTTAGAAATGAGAACAGAGAAAGTATTTGCTTCATATATCAGAAGAAAGTACCTCAGAAGACACATCAAAATTCAAGATGACTGTCCCAAGGGAGTATGAGGAACACAAGATAGTGCAATATATCACTGCTGGTTTGGCAGAGTCAGAATTCAGAAGGACTGAGTTCTGCTTTTAGATGCTTTTAGAAGTAATTAAATCCGTATTTCAGTTATCTTGAATTTCAAAACATGTAATGAGAAGGAATTATTCTGGAAATATTATATATACAGATTTAGTCTTTCAACAAATTGTCTGCAGAGTATTCTAGTAGATATGGTGAAGATAACGAACAAGTAAATGAGTGTGTGCTTACGAGGGAGAAATACGGGCATGAGTTTTTTTTCCAGCCTGAAACTTACTGACTGGACAAAGAACACACAGTAGTATATCTAAACGTCCAGAGACTAACTCCATTTTATCCTTACCCTATAAATCAGTTTCCAAGATACCTACAAAAGGATGCTGCATTACCAATACCTTTGAGCAGATACTCTACTTTCAAGTCTGATAATATATACGTATTGGATGCACAGGACATCACATAGCACTACAAAAGCCAAATGTTATCCTTTTCAGGTCATGGAGTTCCAACTGAAATGAGAACCAGTCCCACCAGGTAGCTTCAAGCCATCAGATAGAAGGCTTAGATGATTACAACTTGGACCTATGTCAGGTTGGTTACTTTGATAAAGTATTCTCTTATTATTCAGAGTATCACTTCTCAAGATTTCCCTTGGGAGGGAATTTTTTGTGTGCTTTGGTTTATTTTGTTTAACAAGGAAAAGACTGTATTTAGATCAATATACAATGCATTGATACTCGTTATGATCTTAGTAAGCTTGGAAACATTATAAATAGTCCGATATATGCTAGTTGCACTGATACTGAAGAACATTACGTGTGGGTGCCATTGAACACAATCTTTGCCAAGATATTCTTCTGAAAATTTCAATTGGACAAACTCTTATGATCTATTCTACTTTTTTAAAAGGCTCCTTATTATAAAAATCCCCATTACACCACCTTTAGAACAGCAGGAAGTCCAGAAAGGCAAGACATACAGTTAACGGAGAAGGTTCATACAACTAATGCATGTTTTTGAGGCATCCAGCCATGAAGAACGCTACTATCTGTTAAAGGGAACTAAAGATAAACAGGTAACACATGCTCTTCCTCTATTTCTCACATAGAAGCTTTTTACCTGATGTTCAGCCATCTGGCTCTCTGGGCTTTTGGCTGGTTCCAGACTCTCATTTAGCTTGATCTCAATGCTCTCCATTTTTGTAGATATAGACTGGAGTGTGTCCTGGTATTTCTGTTGACGCTCAAGAGCTTCATAGAGGGTGCGCTGCTTTTCACTGATCTGAAGAGGAATGGAAGGTATAAATTATGACCTCTGACACAAGATTTGCTCTGTCTTCTGCTTCATACATCCCTAGGCTTACAAGACTAAATCCAAAACCTTGCAACAAGTTTTCAAAAGTACAAAGTATAAAGCAAAACTTCCATATTAAAAATATTTATCTGTTTAAACATCATCAGCTAAATTCTAGGTTCTGTGATTGAAAAAAAAAATGGACTTTAATAAGCAGGGAAAACTGTGGCACATTCTCATGCCTTATTTTAGATTTTATGTGCTCAAATATGCGAATGTGCACTATTTGCTAGACACATAGTTCTTAACACTCCATAATAGCCACTGTGCCTCTGAAAAGAATTAAAATTTATAGCATATGATCAAAATGTTGACCATTTTCATACATCACTGAATGATTATGCAGCACTACTATGTAGAAATGTGTTGACTCCATATTTGGAGAAACTGGATTCTTGTGCCTTTTTTTGCCAACTCATCCAGCGTGAGTGGACTTCCCTCTTAGGTTATGGAGTATAGTCAGACAATAGCCAATATTTCTGAAGGCAACTATCAGCCTTAATGACTTTTATTTTTTTCTTAACAGAAGTCCATCCTGCACAGGCTTTCAAACAAATAACAAAGGTAACATATCACTACTAACAATTCTTGTCACCACCTGAAAACCAAGAATTGCAGACAAGAATATTAGCTGAGCCAGTTCTTTGCATTTTATTCCTCACAAGTTAGCTCATTATTTTGAATCTTCCAGATGAAGACTTACCACATTTTTCAGTGTTTCCCAAGAGCGCTGCAAATCATCCAATTTGGCACTAGCAGCCGATTCTAAGCCTGGTTCGTAAAACTCCTGGGTGGCTGAACTGCTAGGTTGAATTTTAGCAGCTTCTGTCTGCAACTGTTCAGCAGATAAGGCTTGGTAATAAGCAATGTCCTACAAGCACGAAGCACATTATTGCATTTTCAAAATGAAAGATACTGCATAATATCCCCCCACATACTGCCCCATTGCATATGTCCATTAAAATAAAACCCACAAAGCCAAAAACACCAGGAAACCTCTGAGCAACACAGTAAATAAATGTTTAATAGTAGTACACTGAGTATGGTTTGAAGCTTCACTGTGACGAAGATTGTGGATGCATTTTTTCGCATTCATATTAGGTAGGAGGCACAGGAGGCAACTATGGATAGACACGGAAAGTCTGGGAGGGGAATGCTACAGGTGGGAGTGTTGTTCTGGTATCATCATAACTACACATGGGGAAAACCCATCACAACAGACAGTGGGTTATAGCACTGTAGGTGGCAAAAATAGCACCCTAATGAACAGTAACACAAGGAAGGTAACAACAAAAAAGGAATATGCTGAAGGACTAGTCAATGAGGTAAGAAAGAGTATGAAGCAGTAGCTTATAGTAAGCCTTCAAACAAACAGGTACTCTCAACTAAGTTATAAAACAAAGTGGGAAAAGGGACCAAAAGTGCTAAGGAAAATGGGCAAATGTTCAAATTACCATTGAAAATTCAGGGTGGAACTGTTTTTCACCAGAACTTCCATACTTAGTGTATGGGGATTTCTTCAACTATTGCAGGTGACAATTAAAAAGATCTACAGAAAATGTAAAATTAAGGAAACACGCACAGTATCTATAAGTCAGGACAGCAGACTTGATGACGAGGATTATTTAAAACTGAAACCACGTATGACAGTTACCACCCACATCTATTTGGAAGGTGAAAAATGCTGCAAACTTCCTCCTTCTCACTTACTAGCCCTGCTTATTGAACTATGCTCCAGACCATGCGACACAGCAGCTGTTCTCCAGTTTCCTCAATCATTTTGAATTTGTAAATGCTCCGGTGAAAACTTTAAGACATAGTTTTGCTGCCAGTGAAATCAGTAAGAGATTTTCCACTGATTACTGTTAGCTTGGACCAAATCTCCTTTCAGGCAGCACTCAGAGTCAACACAATATTTGCATAAAAAGTTGCTCAAAATCTACTGAAAATTGTACATGGAAAATCCTCCTCCAATGACTGCAAATTTCTCCAATTTCTTCTTTCCTGACCCTGTATGATAGGAAGAAAAATTCTGCATGTCGAGCCATGTGACTGAGGGAAAACTAAGTGCCTTTCACTTAGATATTTAATAAGGGCTGTTGAACCCTAGGGAAGGAGAAGGAATGGTTAAGTAGGCTGTGTACAAGAAGACAGAAAGCCATTTAACAGCGACCCAGTGCTGAAGACTTGAATCACAGGATCAGCCGTTGCCTCTAAGGCTTTGTGTCAACACTTCAGCTTTTTCCATTCAGTTGCTCTGCATTGTGTATCTGGAAAGCAAGTTTTTAAAAAAAGTGCTAAATTTTAATCAACCGTATCTTTGGGTAAGTGTGAGAAGTTTTAGCCCCAAAGGATTCTCATTCACTGCTGCAGCACAGATGAAGTGTCTGATTTGCTATACGTCAAAATAAACTGCATTAAAGGACTGTTATCTATTGCCAAATAGATGGCATTCATCATGATCAGCACTGGCAGTTTCCTAGCTTCTTTAGTTTTAACCTCATGCGAGTGTGAACCTAAGCATTTTGTAAGTAAACCACTGCATTTTGGAATGTTCTTCCGCTGTTGTTTAGTACATGCAGTTTATTTCAACACTAACCACACTGAAGAAATCTTCATCTGTAAGTTTTTTTAGATCATTATAACACCTCCTTTCTCAGGAGGCAGGATTCCATTGAGTACTACCGAGAAAATAAAAATTAGATTATAAATAGAAAATAGTAGTGACATGGAAGAGCTTTGTAATTGTCACTTAGAATTTATTTTTAAAAACTGTGAATAGCTGTAACACCAGATTTATACACTTTAAACTCAGAAGTCAGTATCTGTATCCGTTTTGAACTAGAACCTGAAGGTTCAGTTAGGTTAGAGGTTAAGCCTCAGTTCCTTGCAGCTATAGGTAAAGACTATTTCAGAGGATTAAATAAACTACCTGCGGAATGGAACCATGCATGTCCGAGATGAAAGCTGAATGAATGCCACAAGGGAGGTACCTGGTTAACAGAAGCATCTGTATTAGCCACAGGTGATGGAGAGCGACAGACAGGTGGAGAAGAAATCTCACTGTTGGTTCCCTCCTCCCCAGACTCCTCAGTGACGGGAGAGAGCAGCGTGTGACAGCGACCAGCAGTCATCTGCCATGGGACAAGAAATACCAGAGCACAGGAAAAAAATCAGTTACATCAGCTTAGTTTTGACTTAGATTGAGATCAAAACAAGAAAAGCAACACATGGTGAGAGTCATCATGGCATTATTCAGTCATACTTCATGCTCTTACATTCACCATTTTAAAAATCTCGTTGAATTCATAGTCTCATTTACCTGTCATACTTCAGTATGAACATGCTCTCCTGTACCCTAATGATTTTAAAAGAAAACATATAGCAAGCAACTCAATAATAACAAATTAAGGTTTGCCTAAATGTCTTCTAATACAATCATTGCTGCATATGGAAATACTATGGAGAGCTACAGAATAATGCAGTACCGGCCTCAGTATCCAGGTCTGTTTAAAAGAACCAGGAATAGACTTGAAATATAAGACACACAAAATCCAGTAGCAACATCTTCTTCTTGCTTCCCCAGTGCTGTTATACAGTGATAAAACCTGAAATCCGCACTCTATTTTCACTCAGACAAAAATCCCAACAGCATCAGCAGTATGTTTGTAATGAGACTCAATTAGAAACAATCAAAAGCAGAGTAATTCAAACATGAGGCCTATGATAATACTTACCCAGCTTTCATTTCCAGCACACTCATCTGAGAATATAGCAGCATACTGTCAATTATCACATCAACATTTTAAGACAAGAGTTTTAAAAATATGGCGTGTAGAACCTATACAATAATATTTATTCTGGTTTTATCTTATTCCTGCAGTTCAGTAGTTTCTTAGCGTTTGCTCTCGCAGGCTGACAGCTATGAAAAAGCACTATATTTGCATCTTGTTACAGACAACTTCCACTGGTATTTGTCTGTTAAATAACTGCATCCTTTATCAACAAGTCTTGAAAACCCATCTAAAGAAAAATACGGTAAGGGGAAACTGCAACTTGTTTGGTTTGCCACACTCCAGCCATTTCAAAAGCAAAATGTAGATGTGAGCTGCAGCAATTTGCTACACAGGGGTGTTGCAATGATGCAAAAGCAAGCAGCTCAGATAAACAGTACCGAAACCAATACATTCCTTACCATAACCACTGAGGGATGAGCGGGGTGTGCTGGGAGTAGGTCTGAATCCAGCTCCTCCATTCCCTCCGAAAGCCCCTCCACTTCTGTCACTGTCAGCAGCATGGTGGCATGTTTTGCTTTCATTGTCAGCATCTTGCACTTCGAATTCAAAGAAGCAATTTGCTCCTGGTATCCTTTGATCTTCTGAGCCAGCTCCTGAGGAAACATTTTTTTTCCCCGCTGCAGAGGCAGCCAATAAAGGCCACAGGACTTGCAGCATTCCAGCTTTCACAGCAAAGGCAAGCTCTCCCCTCCAAGCCCAGCCAATAACATCAGCCTGCTGCCTCTCAGAAACCCTGCGCAGGCCGCCGCACTCGCTGACGAGCAGGATGTTGATAGTGGAGGGAACAAGTCCGGCTGCGTCTGGTTGCACAGCCAAACCGCAGAGCCGAGAGCTTTGAAGCAAAACAGGAAAAGTGCTGCGAAAGGCTCTGCGTGCGCGATTATCGCAGAGGGGAGGGAGGGAGGGACCCCTCACGCTTGCTTCCAGCCTGCACCTGACGCAAAGTCCGTAAGCTTCAGACTGCAGCAAAGGGAAACATCTCTCCCTCCTCCTGTCCTATTTTTTCCCCTGTTCTATTTCCATTTAACGGAGGAAGATGAAGCTTCTCCGCATCGTGCGTGCCATGGAAATGAAGTCATGTGGTAACCACAACTATAAAAAATGCCCCATTCAGCTCTTGCCAGAAAGAATGAATTGTTCAAACAATAACTCACAGGGTCTAACAAGATCAAACGTGATAGAAACAATCAGTCACATAATATGATTAAATGCAGACTGGATTGCTTTGCCAGTGTTTGGATAAGCTGTATTTTAATCTTGTTTTGGTTTTGTGTAAGTCTTCAGAGCTAAAAGCTGAGCTGCACACAGTACTAACCTTTTTAAAGAAAGGGCTGGGGAATCTGGCCTAAAGCAGAGTATATTTTAAAATGCTGGTTTTTACAGCTATGAAATGGTCTGTCTGCGTGGCCAAACACCCTCATAAGTTTAAGTTTAGTCAGAGAAGAAAGATGGAAAAGAATAGCCTTAGAAACTGACTTGTCTTCTCTCCTACCCTGTACTGCTGCCCAGTTCAGTGTCCAGTTTCAAAGCTTTCAATATACTTAAAATAAAAAAAGGTGGAAGATTTTCACATTTCTGCCAAAGCTATTGTTCCTGTCTCCCTAGAGGCTCAGTAACATGATAAGATTTTGATCTATAAAGTGAAAACAACATTTGTGTAAGTTTGCCTGCTAGATCAGTCATTATTCCTTCAAATATATATTTCTGCTTTATTATTATATCTGCTTTTATTTCTTCAAGAAACACAAGTTTTGAAGGAAAAATAGCGAGATAAGTTGCAAGATCCAGTAGCTATAATAATAAATAATTACAATATCTTTTAAAAATGAAATAAGATTACCAGTAAAATTAAAGTATTTTTTTGATTGTACAACATTGGAAACCATTTCCTCAAAATCACAATGCAGAACAGTCATAGTGAGAAATACAGAGTTAGAAATGGAAGCAGCACAAAAACTGAGGATGACACTTTATTGCCTGGGTTTTGATGGTACTGTCTGTCACGTTAGCAACAAAAAGCTCTCTCGGAGCTCCAAGGCTGTCACATTAGCAACAAAGAGAGCTCTCTGGGAGCTCCAAGGCTTACCTTGCAGACTAAGCGAAGTCTTAAGTATAAAACACCAATTAGATCAAAAATCAAACTGCAATCAAATCAAGCCATAACTTTAATGTCTAGCAGCTGGAATAGTCATCTGCTCTGTTTGGCGAACACCAGTCGTTTACTAATGCTCAGTGAATGACATCTCTGGGTCTGAGTAGGAAATTACTGTCATTCAATATACTCACTTAACTCCATCAATATTACTGAGATGCAATAACATTTGTCGCATTAATGTCCAACGCACTAAATATCTAACATACCTCTCTCAACTGAAAACAAAGAAAAGGAAAAGGAGGCAAAAATGTGATCGTGAAAAAAAGGAAACAATTTATAAAAGCAATGGCCTATGAGGTACTGTATTATCCATTAAAATAATTCACAAGTATGGAGATACTTGCTCACATTCTTATCTGAAAGTCTAAAGCAACACAGTTCAGTAAACACAGTTCCAGAGTGCAACTAGACACATAGATGCATAGTAATACAAGTTTCCTACAAATCAGGGCGTACTTTCCTTCTACTTTCTTCCTCTTATTTCAATTCTAAATATAGCTACTAAAAATGTCCCTTTAAGTTCTTGTTCATGCAGGCTTCAAAGGGAATCTGGTAACTGATCTTTTCGTAAATAACACATGTAATCAGCATCTCAACAAGCTTGCCTTTCAAGTGGTATAATAATATAGGGTTCAACATATTCCCTTCATGCTATGCTTTTCCACAGGTATTTAGCAGACAAAATATGAGCCAAAAACATGCATATCTCAGTCTTTTAAAACTCCCTACCCCTAAATGTGGAAAGATTGCAAGTATGAAACCTGTCCACTTTAGCTGATCGCAACATGTGCAACAGAATAAAGGTGCTGTCTTCCTGTAGACCTTTAGAAGGACTCCTAGCTACTGAACTTGTTCAAATGCAGATGAAACTTCAAGTTGCCCCATTTTTAATTCCTTCCTCCCTGCAGCATCACTCCCTTCCTCCAGCAATATTACCCTGCATTGCTGAAGTCACTCTCCTGCATTTACTGTTCCAGAACATTTGAATAGAGAACAGTAGCGTTATTAATTCAGTACTAAAAACCAAAAGTGTTTGTTTAAGCAAACTGCTCTGCATTTATACTTAGTAATTTTTGTAACAATGGGATAGAAAAATGAGCAACACATACAACATTAGGTTCTACTACGTAATAGCAGGTAGCTTTAACTCACAGGTAAAGAAATGGTGCCACCTGGTGCCAAAAGCGACCAGCAGTGCATTTCCTACCCCAAGAAATACAGGGGAAGGGGAAAGGGCTCAGGAGCTCCCATGCCAGCACAGCGAGAAAGTTGCACAGGGACTGCCCCGACCCATTCAAGGGCTGACGACCAATGAGTCTGAAGGCAGGACCTGTGACTCCACAGAACAAAACTCTTCCCAACAATGACTTTAAAGGAAGCCTTTGGAATGAACATTGCAGACTTTTCCTCCAAATCTACTGTGGTTTTCCTGTGATTCAAGTCCCTTAATGTTCTTTTACAGAACGTTACTGGGATGGGAATGAATAAGTAGTTTAGGCTATACATATACACACATATATTTAAAAATATATATATATATCTGTAAGGATCACTGAACTAGCAGTGATCACCTGACTAATGGCTCAACATTGACTTCAGGGACATTCGTCAGTCAAGTACCAATAGCATGAGTCTTCTATCTGGAATTAAGTTTATCTGCCTAACTAGCCTTGATCAAGTCTGAAAAGCTACTCAGCTGATTTATGACCGTTGATTATGAAAAGGTTTTGGCGTCAATGTGTTGCTATTGAGCCCATGTTGTTGCATTTTGGCTCTCCTACCTCATGACGTGAAATCTGGACCTGGAGTTCCTGGATGTTGCCAGTTGCTATTGGCTTGTCTTGGATCTCACGATGGGCACTCTCTATCATTTGCTGTAAATGTTTCATTTCTTGCTCATATTGCTCATACTGAACCACTGCTTCCTAGAGAGGGGAAAAAAAATAATAGTGAATGTCTACATGAAAATCAATATTTACTTAATGCAAGCATGACTGATCTCCCTTCTGAAGTGGACCAAACTTGCATCTATCTGGCACTCACATCTGGATAAGCAAAGCAGAAATATAGTCAGGAAGAAGTCCATTCAGAAATATTGTAAACTGCAATGAATTCAATTATTTCATTTTTTTTAACTATTTCCAAAAAACAGTTCACAGAACACAATGTTTTAGATGTCCAATACAAGGAGCTAGAGCTTCTTCTTCCAACATGTATCTGCACCAAACATACCTACCAAAAGACAGCATTACCTAGTCTCATGGTTTTAATATAAAGGATTTTCATCCACTTTTTCACTTCAAGCCTCCATTTATGAAGTGGAAAGACTACATGAAAAAGTTAGATTTTACAGAAAATATGACTGGGAGAGGGTTATGAAGATTGATTCAGACCATTATCCTACCAGTGTAGTATCAGTCCTTTCTATCATAGGTTCACCAGCAGTTTGTCTAACCTGTTTTTAAAACTTTTCAGTGTGACGTTGTATTCTTCCTTAAGTATCATTAGGTATTCCTTGTGACTGGAAGTCTCTTCTGTTACTTAACTTGAAGCGCTGTAGTTGTACCCTAGCTCACTATGTATTTTTCTATCACTAAAGAGCAGGAAAGAAAAGTTTATTCTCTTCTTCTTTGGAAATACCTTTTACATGTTTAATTATGAATTCAAACCTAGTTTTCTTGTATTTAGCAAAACTTGAAAATACGAATTTAATAGATACTGAATGACTCCAAAATCAGAAAGTAAATATATAAAAATTATTAAATAAAGTCAAAAAAATCATTATTTTTATCCTAGAAAGCTGTTTAATTAACTCAATAGTTTTTATGCAATCATTATAAGCAGTTGATGATATGATGATATATTAATTTCATTAACTCATTATATAAAATCACAAAATTAACCTGCATAAAATTGTATACTAGCTATTTGTCTAGTTAATCCTAACAGCATGACAAAAAACATAGCAAGACCACGGAGAGAGCTGAGATGAGAGTCTGATGGCTAAATCAACAATTAACAGGATCGTGAACGTTAAAACTCCCAAAACTGTGGAGTCACAAATGACAAACTTTGTGGGGAATTTCCTAATGGTATTAGACGGGAAAGAGGCACGCACAGGGAGATGAAATGCCCCATTTTTACCACAATTTGCACGGCACTGTCCGAGCCACTCGGAGTAACTGACGGGATGGAGCGGCACTTGCCTGCATGAGGTTGCACTGCTGGATGGCGGCGTGCTGCAGGCGGCTGGCCTCCTCCTGCAGCCGCAGGGCGCAGTGCCACGCTGGCAGGCCCGTCACCACCTCTTCAGGGATCCGCAAGGTGCTCTGGCAGACTTGCACTGCCTGAACTTTCGGCTTCAGTGACTCCATTTCAGACAACAGATGCTAGAAACAAAGTCAGTGCCACAATGAGCTGTTTTTGCAGAACTCCCAGAGTATTTCTTGCAGCAGAAGAAAATTAATGATTAGGTCAAGCACTGAAACAAACAAATTTGATTATCCACTTTCTAAATTGAATACAATCAGGACACACTTTGTCTGGAGTTGCTGGTTCTGAAATAAGCATTCTTTTAAATATTAGTTAAGCAAAAAGCCCATATAATAGGAATAAAAATAATTCGTGAAAAAGCATAGTAGTACCTATTTCTAAGTGTCAAGATATAAAAATATTTGTTAACATATTTGAAAAAAATACCTTTACAAAATCCAAAAATCAAAGCAGCATAGGCGTCATTTATGTATACACAGATTTTATCATTAAAATCTGAGAACTCCCTGCTGAGACACAGAAGCACATTTGCAAACCAGCAAATGAATCCCGTTATGTTCACAGCCTTCCTTTGAAAATACAAACCATGGCTGAAAATGTTGCTTAAAATTCAAAAGGCAATGAAACAGAAAGAAACACAGCTACACAGAAGTCTTTTCCTTTGAATAATCACACGCTGATGCCTTTGTTAGTAAGTCTCTATTCCGCTCACAATGTCTATTCAAGCTGTCTGTTCATACGCATGAGAAGGGTCTAAGTGCAAGGAGTGGAGAATAGATTTGATCGGCATCCTTTTCTTCTTCATTGAGGAGTTAATGTATTCACAGACAGAAAAATTAAAAATAATCAAAAAAAAAGAGAAAGCCAAAGTTGATGAAAAGGGTCTTAGCACATTAGAAAAATATTTTAAGTTCAACAGATATAAATCAGCTAGACAATGTATGTGGCAAACAGAGAGAGAGACTGGTCACCCCCTTCCTCTATACCACATGCAGAAAGACATCCAAGTATGTCGGAAGCACATACTGATGAGAGGATTGTGGTTTGCTCTTTGTTTCTGTGCCTTCATGACGACGTATGGTAGGTAATCTAACCAAAGATTTGGTGTAAAGACCTATTCCTCAGACATTGCTGGTGAGGCCTCTCCTCTGGTAGGCCCCATACTGCTGGTAAAGGGTGCCTTCATTGTGCAGCCGGCACCCAGAGGTGCCCCGGGGGCTGCATGCTAGCCAGGCGTTCTCCAAGACCCCTTCTCTGGTCTGGTGAAACAGGCAGGCAGGGGCTACAGCCCCTTTCCGTACAAAAGATAGTCATACTCTGAGATCTGCTAGAGTCAAGACAAAGAATACACATAAACAACAGTGTAAACTCCATATTCCTTTACTCTTACGGTGGGTGACGCATTTCAGTTACACTCTTCAATGCCATATTCTGCAATTTGGTCAAAAATTTTTTGGCCAAAATTTTTTTATTCTACAGCTCCTAGAATAAAGACTGCGTATTTTAATCAAAAGGGGAAGCTCTGCAGATTTACCTTTCATCCGTATGTTTTTCTGCAGCTTTTAATGCTAAAGTGGACCTGTTGACATTTAGTTTTCACTGGTAGACTAAGACAGTTAAACATATATATTAGCTTGCAGCAAGAAACATTTCTTAAGTGACTCAGAAAGCTGTAACTTCAGTTATTTTTCTTGTCATGAAACTGAGATAAAAAATTACAAATTGACAAATCCCAATAGTAGGCCAAGTGCAATACAGAAAGCAGCAATATCTTATGGAGGTAATTCAACTAAACATACCAAAATAAAAAAGTAAATATAACTGGACTTAAGGAAAACTGAATTTTCTATTAGCTTTCCAACTGACTACTGGGGGAGCTAGCAACAGACTATCTCATTGCATTTGTATCTGTAAAATGTTGATAACAATCTAGACCTCCTTTTGATGCACTTCCAAGAACCTGTTGATGAAAAGCACTGGATAAGAACTGAGCTTTATCATCACTATTAATATGGATTAAACTTGGATTGGATCCACGTTTCTCAGAATTGCATCAACCTAGGAACAGACTCATAAAGGATTATACTTCAACCATTCCCTTTGAGGGAATGATTTTTCCCATTCCATCCCTTATTCCCATGCCAGTAATTTGGGGCTAGACTCTGAAACAATGATCCATCTAAGAAACACTACAATTGGTCTCAGCAACATTCATTATTCTTTGCGTAAGCGCACACTACTCAAGTGCTAACTGTGAGGTCCTGGCCTTTACCTGTCTGTGAGAAAGTTGCTCTTTCAAGCTCAAATGCCCAAGCTCCGGAGAGGTCAGTGTGGCTTGGGCTTGCTCCAGAGCAGACTGCAGGCCTCTCAGCTCAACTTCAAATTTCTTCATGTCCTGTAACACAACACATTTGAATCAGGGATAAATAAGGAGAAAGAAAAAAAAAAAAATCACTATAAATCATAGAATAGAATCATAGAACAGTTTGGGTTGGAA